CCTGATTTATGGTTTGGAGCTGTATTTGTCTCTAGGAAATGCACATTTTGAATGTGAAAATATTTTTTAAAAATGGATAGATTTCTTAAGCTGTTTACGACAGAAAAAATAATACTAATAATCCAGAAAAGTATAAACTAACCTTCCTTAAACTTTAAGAGGGATTTTTAAAAGCACGTAAGGGGTTTAGGTGCACACATCCAATTCACCTTAAATAGGACTTGTGTGCCTAAATCTCTTTGGTGCTTTCGAAAATCTCTCTCACTAGGTTTCATGACCTCTTGTTATAGTTGAAGTATTAGAGATCCATCTAACTTAAATCACACTTCATTCTGAAAGTGTTTAACCTAATAAAGTTACAAGTAACGCCTCAGATTACTGAACTGAAAAATTATAATTTTTTTCCCCAATTTACTTTGGGCAATTGAGAGTACTTTACAATTTCATTCTTTCCCCTATGTTGTCAGTCCTTTCCCCCTGTTTGGGTGGCTGAAAACCCAGCAGGGCGTCTTAGGTACTAGACTGAAATCTGGTCCACTTTTTGAGTGGAGTAAGTTTCATGTTGACTTTCCCCCTTTATGGGCCAAAATCTAAAATTATACCAAGTATGTATGTATAGCCATTATTTTGTATGTGCATGCTTTCTGCAGGTGAACTATCACCTCTTTTTTAAGAACTGACATTAAACATAGATTTTTACTTTCTATCTACATAATGTATCTCACAAATTAAAAATATTTTTTAAAATATGGTTGTAAAACCACAAAAATTAATAGGGGTGATATAAGGGCAGGTGAATAAGCAGAAACTTTTTTTAAAAAGCATCATTGGGATATCTAACATCCAGACAGCAATTTTTTAAGGCCCTATCTGAAGGATTCATATCTAGTAAATGTCATGGTTCTCCCTTGGAGGGAAGGGCCAAATCCAAACTGCTGGAATATAGTGGTTCTAGGTAGATGAGTGTTTCCCAAACATTTAAAAATGAAAGAGTTTTGTGTTTCAACTTCTCTTCCATTCACAATCATGTAACATCTCTTGGCCATTTACAACAATTACTTGGAAAAGTAAAATTGGAAAGTGTACATTTATCTGTATTGTAAAGCAGTTTAGCAGCTGGAAACAAGAAGAGCCAACACTGGATGAAATCCTGAACCATTGATTAATGATAACACTCCCGTTGATTTCATTTGAATCAAGATGTCACCTATGTGATCAACTTACTCTCCAAGGATCACACATTGCCCATATGCTGTAGTTTGGGAAACTGGTCTAGATAGTCTAAATTGCCAGTTAGACCACTAACTCATTCCATTTACTCAATTCAAAACAGAACACAGTGTTAATAGCTATTTAGGATCATCCATTTAACAACTCATGATTATCTAAAGCATTGAACAGCTATATTCAGCAGCCATCCTGAATTTGTATTAAAAAAATTAAAATAAACACCTTGTCTTCCTCCAGCTGAATACACAGAACAATACTATGATTGAACACTTTACATATTAGATATATATTACCAGGCTAAAGCAGCAAAAAATGTAATGCAAAGAAAAGCAACAAAAAGACCTCTCATCTTTTAATAAGGTTCTGCTCTTCAGCTGGGTGCAGTGTCACTGGGTACCAGGCCCGCTGAAAAGAACAGCACCATAATATCTCTGCTTATGTACCAGCCAGAGAGACTCAGCAATGCTACAGATCAGGATGGCATGATATTCTCTTCCTGGGTATTGGTTGTTGATGAGTATATTGCTTTGTAACTGTTGGTGAAAATCTTAATGATCTTAACAAATATTTTGAAAAAAACAGATGAATAGTAGTTACATTGGGCACAATCTTGTGAATGTTTTTCTGATAGGCAGTAAACTGATTTCATTTAATGAAGTTATTTTATTAATGTATGCCTTTAACACCTTTTTATTCAGAGAAGATTTTATGCCAATTAATTGTTCTCAACTATGTGCTATATTATACAATGATGCCCAGGTTCTTTTGGTTGATATGAATGTGATTTATGTCTCTTTATAATATGCTTTATTTCTGCTACATGGTCAACCAGTTCTTGCTGGTTGATCTGAAGTGATCATGAGAAAACACTTCGGAAATTATTTCATCTTCCTTTTTGATTTTATATATGTTCAAACATTATTTATATAGCACTTTTCCTTCTGAAGGATTCCAAAAGTAAGATCACTTCACCAACAACTGACTGCAGCCTCCTCCACACTGAAAATGTGGTAGCAATTCTTTGCCAGAAACACAACACCAGTTTTATTTGTTTTTAAGGGGAAGTGATGAATAGTTGAATTTGAAGCTCCAGTGAGAGTTTTATGTAAGTAGCATGTAAATATCCAAGTTGGAATTCCGTTCCCTTGATACTCATGTTGAAAAAAAGTAAATACTGGTTCTCTAAATATTCAATCATGCATACATCAGTATCTTCTTTCTTAGGAGTAATTTTGTTGAATTTGTGTATGGAAACTGCTGCATAGTAACACACACCATAATTGTGTATGGAAACTGACATTAACAATTCTGCTTGTATTTGCTGATGACTATTTTGTGTAGTGAAATTCTTCTAACCATGTCTACAATTCAGATTTGTCCTCTGTTGACTTTACTGAGGTAGAATTAAAGTTATGGTTCATAACTGTGTGTGAGCCTTGTTTGAGAAATGCAACTTTAACTCTGCATGTTTAACAGTTGGTGGTAGTTTTTTTAGCTATTTTTCAAATCCTGAAAGATAATATGCACTTACACCACTAATAACTTTCTCCAAACTAAGTTTTTTGTGTCCTGTGTTACAGATTTGTCTTTCAAAGACTAACTTAGTCAGAAACAGTAGGCAAAATTAAGGAGACCAAATCTGCTCCCTAGGCCTGATGTAGCTTAATTCTAGAAGACACAAGAAACCCCTCTGTTTTAATGGAACTTTTTCAGTCCCTGTAAAAAAATAATTAGGCTGTTTCTTGCCCCAACCGAACAGCCTTCAGGAATTCTGTCCTTAAAATCAGAAACAGTTAATTAGCCACTCAGCCTTTGCTTCACTGCCCTCCAGACAGCAACTTCAATCCCGCATCTGAGAACTTCACTTGCCAAATATATCTTTTATTTCCCCTTTACCTTCCCATCCTCCTACTTAGTCCTGCGCCCTTTAGGGAATATCTGTGTCTCACTTCTTAGGCTAGGTTCACACTACCCGCCTGATTCGGCGGGTAGAGATCAATCTTCTGGGATCGATTTATCGTGTCTCATCTGGACGCGATAAATCGATCCCAGAAGCGCTCCCCCGTCATCTGCGGAACTCCTGCTCGCCGAGAGGAGGAAGCGCTGTCGACGGGGGAGCTTGCCTGTGCCGCGTGGACCTGCAGTAAGTAAACTTAGTTCGATCTAGGAAACGTCGACTTCAGCTACGCTATTCTCGTAGCTGAAGTTGCATTTCCTAGATCGATCCCCCGCCCCAGTGTGGACCAAGCCTTAGTGGCATGGAGTAGAATTATTTCAGACAGAGTGCTAGAAGTGATTGAAAAAAAGCATGCTTTCAAATTCCACTTCATGCTACCCTCCTATCCTTTTTCTCTATCTCTTTTGAGGAATCCTTCAAATGAGAAAATTGTTGACAATTATTGTAAAGTCATAGAAAAAGTTCCATACAGAATTGAGGGAAGGAATTCCCACTGTTTTCTTATCCCAAAAAGGAAGGGAGGCCACATCCCTAAATGGGCTTGAGAGATTTGAACGTTTATCAAGAAATTCTGTTTGATGAGATTAACATCTATCATCCCTTCCCTCCTCCCTTGTGGGAGGGGAGGGATAGCTCAGTGGTTTGAGCATTGGCCTGCTAAACCCAGGGTTGTGAGCTCAATCCTTGAGCGGGCCACTTAGGGATCTGGGGCAAAATCAGCACTTGGTCCTGCTAATGAAGGCGGGGGCTGAACTCAATGACCTTTCAGGGTCCCTTCCAGTTCTATGAGATAGGTATATCTCCATATAATATATTATATTATGACTGGTTTAAAGGTCTTGATCTGAGAGATCTGTTTACACATCTCAATCAGACAGTGTCATCAGAAACACCTTCACTTGTGTGTAGTCCAGGACCACTTACCAATAAAAGAGCCTTCCTTGTGGACTAGCAACAGAACTGTATATCCACAAAATTCCTAGCTGCAGTGGCAGCCTAACCAAGGAATCAGAACACTGATCTACCCTTATCTTCAAATATCTCAAGGCTTAAGCTTATCTCTGAAAATGAATTGTCAGTTATCTGAGAACTGGGGCTGCAGATGAACTAAAAATTCCACCTGAGTGGAACTCGTAAACTGATACCTGATTTTTTTTTTTTTTTGCTTAATACAAAATCTAGGTCACATATGTTCAACTAAGAAATTACACTAGTCAGAGAGATGGATTCAGGTGCAGAACCAACTTTAATGGAAATACATTCACCCTCCAAAAAGAACTACATCACAACTAACAACAAGGCATTTCTTTTGCAATCTAGCTATACTTTAAACAAAACTTGTTAGATTGAAGAATCACTATCTAGGGCTTTTTAGGAGCAGTATTAAATGTTTCCAATTAAAAGCCCTCCTGGCCTAAAGAAGAGGTTTCACAACATTCCAGATTATTAATTATTAATCCTGTTTATTATGGTAGTACATAAATACCAACCAAGAATGCCTTTCACATCTGCTCTCATCAAGAATCCAATAGCGCCAAATGAGAACATTTTTACATCTGTTGGGACTCCAGGTGTCCCCATACTTCACACAACACACAGTCAAGCTGTAGAACTCAGTGCCAGTGGATGTTGTGAAGGCCAAAATTATAACTGGGTTCAAAAAAGAATTAGATAAATTTATGGAGGATAGGTCCATCAATTACTATTAACCAAGATGGTCAGAGATGCAACCCCATGCTCTGGGTGTCCCTAAGCCTCTGACTGCTAGATGCTGGGACTGGATGACGGGATGGAGCACTTGATGATTACCCTGCTGTGTTCATTCCCTTTGAAGCATCTGGCATTGGCCAATGTCAGAAGACAGGATACTGGGCCAAATGGACTATTGGTCTGACCCACTATGGCCATTCTTACGTTCTTATATTTTCATTACCTCAAGCACTCAGGTGACCTCTCATACCAGGATTACAAATGAGAATCTTGTTGAATTTAAATGAATGCACATTACAAAGCAAACAGCAATATTATTTAAAAAGTTGACCACGCATCCAGAGATATTGGACTCATTTCTGTGGTGGACAATGCCTCAGTCATAATGCCTCAGTACAGCATTCCTTTCCTCCCTCCTTTGGTATCCAAAGTCACGATATGCACAAATACCTCTGCAACAGTAGAGATCATGTTTGCCAGATCTGAGATTTAAGAACACTGAACGTGTCAGGGAATCAAGAATACATACCAATGTCCTGAAGTTAAAGGTAATATGTCATACTAATGACTTTTCTGCCAAAGATGCAACACTGAGTGGTTCAAGTTCACAAAGACCATGTAGCTGCAATTCCTAACTGAATTACAAGTCCCGTGCATTCTGTTAGGAAGGTCTTTTTGGAAGAGGGCTTTCATCATACTGTTTTCCCATTTCTTGTTCACCTAGCCCTAGCAGGAAAGAAAAATGTGTTAACAGATTATCTCAGTCACAAGCCTTAGGATCAACACAAGTAGTCTGTGAAGGAGATGTTGGTGAACCTCACCTTTCAGAAATAAGCCATCTGAAAATAGATGTTTGCAAAAGAACATAATACCAAATGCTCTCTGTATTGTATCAGGGAAGGCAAGAACACAAATTGCCTTATGGAGGATCCCCTACCAGATTGTAAGGGATGCTGTAGATAGCACTTTTATATGCATTCTCTCTGGTTCCACTGGGATCTTAATTTTAGAGAAAGAAAAAGACAGGACAAGGGTCAAGGAATTTTAGTAGCCCCAGCTTGTCAGTGATGGTATTCATATCTTCCTGGTCTGAGAGAAGAGTTGCTGCTCTGAATCGTCATAGAGTAGCCAAACTTTTGTCTCAACAATGAGGTCAGATTCCAGAACCCTGAACTGAGACTCCCCATAGTTAGAGCATGGAAGCTGACACTCTCATATATGGATGGACTTACAGAGCTCACCATAAGTGCAACAAATACATCTCATAAGAGCTAATCAAACAATACTTATATGCAGATATTTGTCATTACATGAATTTCATGCATTCTAAATCTACCACCAACATATATTTGTGAGATACATCCCCACTTGTCACCCACTCATTCAAGGGTAATTTATGCTTCCTCATCCTAATATGAAAGGTTTGGACCATACATATTCCCAAGAAAGACAATCACTTCCTACATGAGACCTTAATTTGGTTCTCACAACACAAATGGACACTCTGAACCATTGCCAGACTGTTCTTTATTTCATCTGTGCATTAAAACAGCATTTCTGATTGCTACCACTTGATTCTGATGACTGAATTGCAGGCACTTATGGCCGATCCACCCTTCATTGTAGGATAAGGGGGGTCTTCACACAACCCAGTTTTTCTTGAAAGTGGTTACAAGACAATTGTAGGGACGTAGGGGACATAGAATTGCTATACTGAATCAGAGCTCTGGTCCATGTAGTCTAATATTCTGTTTCCAACAGTGGCCCACCAGAGGTTTCAGAGGAAGGAGTAAGAAATCCCATCATAGGCAGATGTGAATTCAGCCCTCGATGCTGCCAACACAGCTGCCACTGCCAGGACCATCTCCACAGCTGTGGTGATGAGACAGGCGTCATGGCTTCACCTCTTGAAGGAGGCACAGATCACAGTGGAGGACCTCCCCTCTGAGGGGGTGAAGCTCTTCGCCGAAAAGACCGATGCCTCTCTCCACTCCTTGAAGGATTCCAGGTCCACTCTCAGGGTCACTGGGAATCTACACGCCAGGGCAAAAGAGATGTTTTGGCCTTCAATACCAACAAAGGCCTTATTCATCCCAATTCCCATCACAACATCACTATGTGCCTCAAAGGAAAAGGGGGAAATTCTCAAAATGGAAGCCTTCCAGCTCCCAATTCTTGACCCAACCACCTGGCCCTAAGCACCACTTTTGACGGGCAGGTTGAGGAGCTGCAAGACCTCTCCCCACTACTACCAGTGCCCATGCACCTATTTGGTCACCCTTTGGCAGCATTTCACAGTGCCTGGGAGTGCATAACGTTGGACAGATGGGTCCCAGAGATCATCAGATCTGGTTGCTCCATCCACTTCTCCCTCCCCATCCCCTCCACAACACCCTTCCCTGTCCCTCTTCAGGTACCCTTCTCACAAAAGTCTACTAAAGCAGCAAATAAATTGCCTCCTGCAGTTAGGAGCTATAGAACCAGTACCTCAACATCTATGAGGCAATGGGTCCTACTCTTGTTACTTCCTAATACGCAAAAAAAGGGAGGGTGGAGATCCGTTCTGGACCTCAGAACTCTCAACAAGTTTGTCAAAGCTCAGAAGTTCAAAATGGTCATCTTGTCAACAATCATTCCATCATTGGAACAGGGAGACTGGTTTTTGGCCCTCGACCTACAGGATGCCTACTTGCACATTTCAATACTACCAGCTCACGGACCTTCTCTCAGGTTCACTCTGGGACACGACCACTGTCAATACAGCGTCCTCCCCTTCATTCTTTCATTGGTCCTGACAGCATTTTCCAAATTTCTCTCAGTGGGGCCGCCCATCGACGATCACAGGAGATAATGATCTACCCTTACCTAGATCATTGTCTCCTCAGAGCCTAATCACTTTAGGGGGCTTGTTGAGCCACCGAAGCCGCAATATGCTTGTTCATGGAACTGGGCCTACGGATCAATTCCCAGGAATTCATAGGGGCCAATCTAGATAGGTACAGGCCAAAGCCTTCCTACCTCAAGACTGGTTTCTATCCCTGGTCTCACTTATAGATACAGTTCAATGCAGCCCTCAAGTGCCAGACGGAATCTTCCTCCAACTCCTGGGGCATATGGCAGCAAGAATGGCGGTGATTCCACATGCCAAACTCCACATGTGATGCCTACAGTTGTGGTTCAGCTCAGTTTACAGACCGAACAGAGACAATCTGGACATACCCGTTACTGCCCACCAGGATCAGGAACTCCCTGGTCTCGTGGAAGAACCCAGCCAATGCATCCCCTTCTTAGAGGTTCCATCTTCGTCGCTCCTTACCACAAACGCATCCCATAGGATGGGACATGCATTTAAACAGTCTCACAACACAAAGCAAATGGTCACTTGCGGAGATATCTCTGCACATCAATCTCCTCAAGTTGAGAGAGGTCAGGAATGTCTGTGCCCTTTTCCTCCCACTGATAACAGGATCATGTATGAAAATCCTAAGAGACAACATAACCTGCATGTATTATATCAACCATTAGTCAGGAGCCAGATCGCCCTCCCTATGCATGGAGGCAATGAAACTATGGAACTGGTGCATCTCTCAGAACATTACCTTGTCCGTGGCTTACCTCCCAGGTATGCAAAACTCAAGAGCAGACAAGCTCAGTCTCAAATTCCCACATGATCACGAGTATGTCACAACTTGTTCATATGGTGGGGAATACCATCTACAGATGGCCACTTTTCCATTCCTCCTCCTGTGGGAAAAGGACCTTCTTTACGCCTTCCCTCCATTTTCTCTTTTGCTGAAGGTCTTTATAAAGATGGATGGAGCTCATGTAATTTTAATTGCTCCCATGTGGCCGGGACAGACCTTGTACCGTTACCTGACGCAGTTCGTGATGTACCCACCAATCTCCCTTCTAGCCACCCTGCACCTTCTCTCTTAGGACAAAGGGCATGCCATACATCCCAAATTGGGGGTCCTCCACCTCAAAGCATGACTCCTATATGGTTCCAGCACCTAGAAAGCTCATACTCAAAGGAAGTGCAAGAGGTTCTACTACATAGTAGAAAATCCTCCACATGATGAACTTACCTGCAGAAATGGTCCAGGTTTTAGATTTGGTGCATGCCCCGATAAATCTCTCCAGTGTTAGCAACTCTTCCACATATTCTGGAATATCCCCTAATCCCTTAAAAGATCGGGGTTATCCCTGAGCAATCTCAGGGTCCACCTGGCAGTTATCATAGCATTTCACCAACCCATAGAAGGGTACTCAGTACTTTCATACCCAACCACTAAAAGGTTCCTTAAGGGAATAACAAATGTCTTCCCTCAACCTCAGCTTCCTTACCCCCTCATGCAACCTAAACCTAGCGCTGAAAGGACTGACCAGGCCTCCCTTTGAACCTATGGCCACCCGTTCGTTAGCATACCTATCGATGAAAAAGGTTTTTATGATAGACATTATCTCAGCTAGAAAAGTTGGGGAAATAGCAGCTCTGATGACGCATCCCCCATACACATATTCTTCCCAGATAAGGTTACACTCAGGTCGCATCCAAGCTTCATCCCTAAAGGGACCTACTCGTTTCATATGAATCACTCAATTCACCTTCCTGTCTTCTACCCCAAACCTCACTGAGACAATAGGGAAGCCATACTACACACCCTAGATGTTAGAACAGCCCTTGCATTCTACCTCAATAGGACAAAAGCCTTCAGTAAGTCCCCTAGACTATTCCTCTCTATGGTGGAAAGATCTAAGGGCTCAGAAATACCAGTTCAAAAACTCTCTAAGTGGGTCTCAAATTGCATCAGACAGCGCTACCAAATTCATAACATGAACCCTCCAGATTCGATCCGTACACATTCCATGAGATCACTTCCTCATCTGTCGCCTTCTTTAAGGATGTCCCCATCTCAGAGATATGCAGAGTGACGACATGGGCATGAGTCCACACCTTCGCAGAACATTATGTGATCACCGGGGACGCTGCTTCTGATGCCATCTTTGGCTCCACAGTACGATCATCTATTCTATTACTAACTCAACTCCAAAGTCCCAGCCCTCCAAGCGGGGTACTGCTTGGAGTCACCTACAGTGAAGCACCCATAGGGACACTACTTGAAGAAGAAGTTATTCACCTTGTGCAATAACAATGGTTCTTTGAGATGTGTGTCCCTATGGGTGCTCCATTATCCTCCCTCCTCCCCTCAACTTCGGAGTTTTCGCTTATGATTCTGTGGTAGAGAAGGAACTGAGGACCATTAGCCCACGCACATGACGCAGCACGAGGAGAGACACCGCATATGCGGGCCCAATGGACACTGCTACTGAAGTTCTCCAATCAGCAGCGCACGGACGCAAATACACCTAGAGTGGAACACCCATAGGGACACACATCTCGAAGAACCATCGTTAGTACACAAGGTGAGTAACTTCTTTTAAGGCCTAACATCTATATAACAAAAATCTATTATTTTTATGCTATCTTAACTTTTTATTTTTCTTTTGGTGTCCTCTTTCCATGAGGATTTAAAATAAGTATCCAATTTATATTTAAATATAACAGAATTATAAATCATGCTGAAAAATGAAATACCTGGTAATTACAGTAACTCTTTAAACAGGCTTGGGGACAAAGTGAATAATGAGGACCTAATTTTAATGCAAATAAAAGTGCCTGAGTTGCAGGTTGTTGTATAATTTTTCTTTCCCTCCTGGCATATTTATTCTGAAGCCCCTTGAAAGAAGTCAGGAGGTTCTCAAATAAGTAATTAATGATGGTGAAAGTGGAATTGCTCTGTTTCACATTTAGGAAAACTTCTAGTCTAAACAACTGTTGAGTAGCAAAGATTATGCTACAGGAGACGGAAAGACTCACCTTTGATATAGCTGAAGCTAAAGAAATGTCAAGCTCGATTGTAGAGGAATGTTTAAAAATCTGTGCCTTTTCATAAACTATGAATGTGTAATGGGCGGCCTGGAGGGCCAGACAGCCTAGTGGTTGAGCCTGTGGCTCCCAGCCCCCTACTTGGTTATGGACACTAAAATGATATTATCTCAATAATATTTAATAACTAGTTTGGGAATTGGGTAGGAGCAGATAAGCTTCTAAAAGGGTTTACTGTAGCCATATTAATACACCCATTAAGGAATATTTTCAAGATAAGTAAGTACGTCACAATTTATTCTTAAGGGATTGTGATGGGGTGTACAAACCCAACACTGGGCAACAAGAGGTTAAGGAACTACTCTCGGCCCAGCCAGCCGCATCCTGCTCCACCTGTAGCAAATGCTCCAACTGAAGGAAGAGTTTAAAGGCAGGGGAACAACTCATTTAATGGCAGATTAGGGAAGAGAGCTGAGCTGTTATCTGCAGCTCCAGCAGAAGAGAGTGGGGGGAAGACAACTGTCTAAAGGTCCCTCCCTGAGGGAAGGGAGGACCTGCCACAGAGACAGCTGGAGAGGACAGCTCTTCCCCTCCTATGAACTCTGAACTTTGGTAATCCCCTTTCTTTTTTGTTGGACTATCCCAGCAGGGGAAAAGCCTTGGACTGAGCTGGCCCAGGAGGGTGGGCCATCGCATGGGAGAAGGCAGTTGCCACCTGAGAAAGAGAGCTATCACGCTGCATGCTGCCACCAGAATGTTCCTTGTGGTGAGCGGGCACCCTTCACCTGGCATTAACCGGGATGGTAACTTTGGGACAATTGCAGGGGGGAGATAGGAAGTGGCCCAGGAGGGCAGCCTTAAGCAGCCTTGGCTGTCAGATCACTGATAGCCCTCAGAGGGCCCTGGGTTGGAGTTTGGAGGAATGGGAAGGCCTGCGCTCCTCTTCCAGCAACCCTCCTGCAGGTCATGGACTTTAGCCCTGACTACTAGGTGACACTAACTAATCAACCAACCACTGAGTGAGGATCATCTCAGGGATAAATGAAAAAAGGATTAAAATTGGCATTTTTGAGCATAGTGCTAGAGCCTATGATACCATGTTATATTCGTGCCACTAGCAATACAGGAATCTAGTACAAGAAATTT